TGGGGGAGGGGTCTTATTGGATCATTACACATAATAAATATATTATTAGATTATATATAAAAATAATTTATATTATATTATGGAAGATACTACAAAATTCCTATAGGCGAAAATGAACAATGATTTCGTCTGCCCTCATCATCATCCAAAATCACATAGTCACAGTTGTCCGATAGTGTTTCAAATTTTTTTTTTTTTTTAACTAATCGAAATGCTCTAGAATTTGGAGCATGTGTACATCTTAGTGAGGCGCACTTAATAAAAATATGAAAAAAATAATTCGTAAAATGTAAATTAACCAAAATAACCCAAAAACTTTTTGGGGGTATATTGGTTAATTTATATTTTTCGAATTATTTCTTTCATATTTTTATTAGGTGTGCCTCACTAAAATGTATGCACGCTCCAAATTTCAAGTAATGTGGATTTATAGATAAAAAATGAAAATTGAAACACTACCGAACAACTGTGACTGTGCGATGAAGTTTGGATGGTGATGAGGGTAGGCGAAATCACTATTCATTTTGTCCTATAGGTGTTGAGAAGAGTTTTCCTTATATTCTATATTATATATGATATAAATAAATAATAATATAATATTATATACATAATGTACAAATATCTTATATTATCCTATATATTATATTATAATATATATTATATTATATGTTATATCCTATATATTATATTATATTATATGTGTATATATAATACAAATATACATTAATAAAATATATATAATACAATATATTATATTATATTATATATTTATATTTATATTTATGGGAAAGTATGGAATGAGATCATTTACCTGTGGTAGAAGGTTAGACATTAATCTTGACTATTGGATGTGAAATTGGGTGGCTACAATTATTTTATTGACTAAGCTCAAACTTCAAAAGAAATTTTATCGAACTTTGTGACAGATCCAAGCTATCAAACTTCACATCGAATGGTTGTAAGTAATTGTGACCACCTTGTAGTACCAAAGGTAAATGTTATCATTGTATATGATCCCTATATTTATATAGGTAATATATATATGTTATCAAACACAACACCCTTAACTTTCTTAACACTCCAACAGGTTATCAAATGCAGTACCTAGAACTTATTTAAACTTTTTAAAACAAAACATTCAATTTTCCAGAAGATATCTTTCAGAAAAACAAACACGCCTTTAAAATATGCTCGGTTTCCAAATAACTAACACAATTCCCAAAGAAAAATGTGTATTCCTTGGCACATGAGTTCAGTCTAATTCTCCATGGATATAGGGTTCGAAATCTATTCTAAATCACTGAAAAGAACTTTTCACATTACATACATGAATTTGCTGCTCGAAAAATATTGCACATCTTTTGTTAAGAATTAAAATGAGCACTCCAAGAAAAAAAGAGATCAAAGTAGACTATTTTTTAGTTTGTAAGACCCTTTTTTTTCTTTTCTTTTTATCAGTCAAGATTCTCTATTGAGGTAGTCGAGATTATTGACTTGTGGATGGCACACTATAGGGTTCATGCAACAAAATTGTTAGAATGGATATATATATTAGTATGGATACATATCAGTACAAATATGTATATGTATGGATATATATCAAGATTAATTAGTATCTATCAATAAATGTTGATATTTATCTTTAACTGTTACTGGCCGCATATTTATATGGGTCTTGTATATTCTTTATCAACATCAATATACATAGAGTTCTATGCAATATTCTGAATTTTATCGTGATATCAGAGTTTTTTGTAAGGCATTTAATTCATTATCATTTTCTCCGCCGCCACAGAACCTTTTGCTTTCAGGCTCCCCTTTGATGTCGGAATCTTGTTGAGCCGGATTTAAACCCCTTTGATGTCGGAATCTTGTTGAGCCAGATTTAAACCCTATTTTTAAATCCACCTCTGGAAAATGGCCTCTGAAAACGGTCAATCTGCCCAATCTGAAAAACCGCCCCTCTACCTATTTTTACCTTTGGATCATGATCTCAAGGTTTAGATTTGTCGGAAACAATCTGATGATCAAGTTTTATGTTACTCGATCCAGTCCGATGTTCAAGTTTTCGTTATTTGATCATATTTGATGATCAAGTTTTCTGTTATTCGATCCTATTTGTTCTTTGTATGTATGATCGAGTCTGTTTTCCTGTTACTCGATCATGTCTGTTCTAGTCTGCGAGCTGCTAAATCGGTCTCGGATCCATACCGAGTTCTGTTAGCTCTTCCAAGTGCCATTCTATTTCTCAGCTGCATCGACAGTTTTTCTGTCTCTGATGAAGATTTGGAATTTTTTTGTTTCATTGCTTGAGACTGTCATGTTCTGCCTGCTGATTTACCTTAGATCTTATTTGAGCTCCGAATTGAAGATCCAACTTGTTGATCAAGCAATTTGAAGATGTGCATCTAAAGATCCTACTCGTTTATGCAACTTAATATTCAAACTCCAGCTGCTCTCGAAACATCTTGAGTTTGATGGGCTGTTAGAATAGATATATATCAATATGGATACATATCCGTACAAATTTATATATGTATAGATATATCTCTTGATAAGATTAGTTAGTATCTATCAATAAATGTTGGTATTTATTTTTAATTGTGACCCTATATTTATGTAGGTCTTGTATATTCTTTATCAATATCAATATATAGAGAGTTCTTTGCAATATTATGAATTTTATCAAAAACCCGCTCTATTTCTAATTCCTAGCATTAGAGCTTGCATTTTTCTAACGAGATTATCAATCCATCACTTATAATCTGCTCCAGAAAATGAAAATTGGTTTTGGAAAGATCCATGATGGTGTCGATCCGTTCTTGGCATATCGTGTAAGGATTATTTGCAAGTGTTTCAATAATGCAAAAGAAAAACTAATGGAGTTTATACTCGGCTCTAGGCATTATAACGATGTTTTTTAACCAGTGACCATGGATATCAACGCAAACAACATCCCTATAATGATTATCTTCTTTCTTGCTTTTTTTTTATTTTAATCTTTGTACATTGATCTTCTAATTTTGGCCAACTGAAATAATCAGGAAAAAAAAAAAGGAAGGATGATCTGGACCAAGTAGAGGCTGGGCATATGAAGATAGAACCCATAGCGTAATAGTGAACATGTTCACGTATAACTTCAAAAGCATGAACTTCACCGTTTCTTTGTTTCATTGTAGGCAAAGAAGTTGTGTAGTTGCTGTCTGTGGTTCATGTGACTTAAAGTTCGAACTATGCATTGGAACGGTTGGTTCCCTTTGAACTTCATCTTCTTAAATTTATCACTTCTCTCTCTATATACGGTAAATTTGGAGTATTGGAACAGGTTATCATTGTAGGCAAAGAAGCTTTTTGGTTGCTACCTCTTGCTTCTGTGACTTAAAATTCTAACTGTGCATTGGAATGGTTAGTTTATTTTGAACTTGATCGTCTTAAATTTCTCACTCCTTTCTCTATATGGTGAATTTGGAGCATTGGAACAGGATGTGTTTTCATCTTAATATGGTAAATTTGGAGCATTGGAATAAGTTATTTCCATCTTATTTTGTTTGACTTTAGAGTTTTTAATTTTTAATGATGATGAACTTGAAAAGCATGAACTTCACTATTTCTCTAGTTTATTATAGGCAAACAAGCCTTTTGGTTGTTGTCTCTTGCTCCTGTGACTTAAAGTTCCAACTGTGTATTGGAACGGTTAGTTCCCTTTGAACTGTAACAATTTTTTTATTTCATTGTACCTTTTGTTTCAACTTTTTTTAATTTTTTGTATAATTTCATCTTTTTTTTCTTTATTTTATTCTAAATTTTGTAGTTAGAAGTGCTATGCAATGTTGGTTACTTTTGTTTTTTTATTTTGTTCTTTAATGTTGGTTATTCTAATTTCAAATATATTCTCCGAACATGTATGGATGGGTTTAGCCACGGGATTTAAGGGTGTAGTATTTCTCAAACATTAATCTTGCTGTTTTTCTCTCAATTGTATTATTAACAAATATTTTTTAAGTTTCAGTCCTCAAAGGGGCAACATTACTTCTTGCTCGCCAGTATTTTGGCCTGTGATAGAACAGGAGAGAGAGAGAGAGGCGACGTTACTTGTTGCTTTTTGGCCCGTAATAAAACAGTAGAGAGAGATAGATAGATAGGTAGATTGTCTTATTTGAAATTACGAGAGCATTATAAATAACGAAACTTTTATATTTGTATAGTTTTTATCAATTAATAGTATTTGTCAAAAAATAGTTAACATGAATATAATTAATCATTCTTATTCAATTAACAACAACTTAATAATCGAATGGTGTTTTTTCTAAAATGTTATTTCAAAATGAAAATTTATTCAATTATAACTAAATCAGATCACGTGCAACGAACATGCATAACACCAATGGTTTAAAAAGCGGATCGGTGACCTGAATCGGGCACCTCAAAAACCGATCCGGATCGGTGAATCGGCGATTCGGATCGAGATTGCCTGAATCAATCAGATTAAAACTTCAAAAAAATCCGAAAAAATTATTAAAATTCATTATAAATATTGTTCTTTAGGAATTCAATAAGAAATAAAGGTACTCCATGAAGAATTTTTATTTCTTTACATGAATATACGAATATTGATATATTCTTTCCCTGTATGAACTACTATTTACCATTTAATTTACATCACACAAAAGGATAAACATAGAATTATCATGGAATAAGTATATCAACATACATGGACTACAATAAAGCATACAATTAGTAACATACGTTCTAAAAAAAAAATGACAGATGACGTCGATCTTCTTCTTGGTCACGCTGGTTATTTGTTATTGCAAAAATACTTCTATTGACAATAATATTTTCGTACATATCAATTACAAACATACAGGATAATATAATACAAAATGCAAGCTCCAAACATGACTACAACTCAATTATCAAGAACATACATTTTTTGCATTAAAAATTTAATAATAAAATTGAAAAAATGCAAGATAATATAATTGTTATACATGTTACAATTTTTTTACAATGATATTCACTTTAATTCCTCACGATAATACAATTTAACAACCTGTATTTTTTGCGTTCAAAATTTTAAAAATTGAAAATAAATTTTTTATGCAAACCTACATTAAAAATATAATACAGTTTTGCATTAGAAATATAATAACATGTATGTTTTTGCATAAATATTCTATCAACATGCAATTGTTTCAACAAAAACTTTAACAATAAAAATTAAAAATATGGTTTAATACCTCTTGATAATCAAAACCTGGTCACTATTTTCACATCTTTTCAAAAAATCATGATTTTTCAAAAAAAATCTATCATGTACTAAAAAAAAAAACAAATAAAAACAATTCTTCACAGAGCCACCTAACATCAGTTATTCCAACTCAAAAATGCATTAACAAAAAATTAAAAAAAATACAGTTTTGCATTAAAAATATAATAACATGCATTTTTTTGCATAAATAATCTATCAACATACAATTTTTTCAACAAAAACTTTAACAATAAAAATTATAAATATGTTTTAATACCTCATGATAATCAAAACCTAGTCATTATTTTCACATCTTTTTGGAAAATCACGATTTTTCAAAAAAAATCGATCATGTATTAAAAAAAAAACAAATAAAAACAATTCTTCACAGAGTCACCTAACATCAGTCATTCCAACTCAAAAATGCACGAACAACAAATTAAAAAAATACAGTTTTGCATTAAAAATATAATAACATGCATTTTTTTGCATAAATAATCTATCAATATACAATTTTTTGAACAAAAACATTAACAATAAAAATTAAAAATATGGTTTAATACCGCATGATAATCAAAACCTGATCACAATTTTCACATCTTTTAAGAAAAGCATCATTTTTCAAAAAATTCGATCATGGATAAAAAATAAAAAAAAAGAACAGCAAACTCAAACAATAAAAATTAAAAATATGGTTTAATACCTCATGATAATCAAAACCTCGTCACGATTTTCACATCTTTTTGGAAAATTACAAATTTTCAAAAATTCGATCATGGATTACAAAAAAAAAAAAAAATATGTTCTTCACAGAGCCACCTTACATCAGCTATTTTCAACTCAAAAATCCACCTCCAAACGAATAAATTACATCCAATTGAGTATATGTTTGGATACGCAACACTATAAGGAATTAAAACCCTAAATTATGAACACATTATCATCAATAAATCAAATCAAATCGATTAAATTGAACAAAAAAAAAAAAAACGCAGTTCTTCACAGACAACAATCATTGAATCTAAAAAATGAAGCTCAAATTGCATACATCTGATTATAAACAAGACTATAACGATTTAAAACCCTAGAAATCTAATACATTATTTGTAGTATATTGTGAACAATAGATCAGAAGGTGGAAAAAAAAAAAAAAAAAACAGACAGAATTTTTTTTTCACAGACATCACTGTGTTCTTGTAAAAACTCAAGCTATAATTGAGTAAATTAAATAAAATTGAACATGGTAAATGATAAAAGGTACGATAAATATTTAAAACCCTACAAATTTAACTGATTATTTTCAAAATATGGACTGAAATTGATCAAATGGAGGAAAAAAAAAAACGCAGAGTTCTTACCTGGTTTCGTGAACCCGTGGCTTCAATCTCCAAATTAATCTGTTTTTCTCAAAGATAATCACAAAATCGCAACAGAAATTTCTAATGAACACATTTACGATCAATATGCTTCAAACTTTTTACAGATTCATGTCCTATTTGGTTATAAAACAAAATGAAAAGCGGAAACCCTAAAACCCGCAACTTTCATGATCCAAAAAATTGAAATTTTTCCACCATTTAATGCATGAAAAGGCTGAAAAAAGCTGCATAAAGCCTGAATATTCGATCACATGGCAAAAAAAAGAAGAAAAATGATAAAAAAAAAAGACAAAATTTGAAGAAACCCGTGAAGAATACTGTGCAGCCTATGTTCTTCACGAGACTTGCTGATTCGGTACAGTGAATCGGTGATTCACTATACAGAATCGCCCAATTCTTTCTGGAATCGGGCGATTTTAGGGTCGAAAGATATTTTAGTACTGAAAATTTTTCTTACGGCCTGAAAATTTATTTTCATCTTTAATTATAAAATTTAAAAGCTTCAAGAATAGTGTAGATCAAGCAGATCTATAAACACTTGAAAATCTTGAAAATTGACGTCTAGAATATGCAGTACAAAGCACTATTTCCAAAACTTGAAATCCATTTTTCTCATGTCCATATATCTTAAGGTATAGATGATCGACTTGAGGATTTTTGGGTATCAAAACAACATCTTCTAATGAATTTTTGATGTGCGCCTTAATTTGATTGTTTAGAGCCTCACCGTTATATAAACTTTTGCCATATATGTATTTATATGAGCAGTGATTTCATGCAATGGTTATATTGTAATATAATGCAACAATCTTCAAAATCTCATGTTAAGGCTATTTGTTTGATCCAAAATTTAAAATATATACTCTTTTCATTCTAATGAACAAGCACAAAGAGAAAATTTTGAAAACACAACCTTGAAAGTGCTTTCTCAACCCTATTAATATAGGCTGTCCATTTTGATAAGATGCCTAGGTCTAGGCTTTAGAAGGATTTTATTATCATTAAATGAACAATGTTAAAAAAAAAAAAATTTGATTTTGAGTTTGTAAAGGCTAAGATCTTGAAATTCACCAAATGAATGGTCAAGATTTATTGTTGGACGGGACTCATTTTGACCATTTCTAGAGTTCAAATCAAACTTTTTTCTTTGGATTAATTGTTGAGAAGAGAGTGTGTGTACAAAATTTTGAGTCATACAAATACCGCAAACATGGTTTTTTAGAAGCGTAATTGCATTATACTACGATACAACCGTTGCATTACATCATTGCCGTAATTGCATTATACTACGATACAACCGCTGCATTACATCATTGCCATATATATATATATATATATATATATATATATATA